AAACTAAAATTTATTTGTTTGTAAGCTTAAAATAGATTCTTATTAACCATACATTATTTAAAATGTATTAATAAATAAAATACAGAACCAGAATTGGCAATTTATGGTTTAGCCTAGTGACAAATAGATTTGGAGACAAGTAAGTTCGACTTACGTCGTTCTCCTGGAACCAATTACCGACGTAAGGCGAGGTATACCTGTATTCATATAAAATAATTTTTATATGAATACTGTACTTTTCAAAAGTTCTTTTTGAAAAAAGTCACTTATTTTGTTTTGTTTTACATAGTTTTATTCATTTTAACTTTTTAACTCTTAAATCTCTGGTTTTCAAACAATCAAGCAAGATTTTGATAAGAACTGAAAAATTGCTTCAGGTTGTATTTCTATGTCAACATTGTTTCTAATGCATAAAATGATTTACTATTCATGAACATGGTAAAGCATTTGATTCAACAGAAGCTACGAGTCAGTAATCATGCTTTTCTATTTGTACTGTAACGAATGAAAGCTAACACTAATGCTGATAATATGACAGGACAATAGCAAGACTGCAGACAATTTTTATTACATAAAAACTTCATAATTTCAGGAATTATTACTCTTTGAAGTTCATTTTGGTTAATCAACTTTTTGGATAATTGACACTTTACTATATTTTATTGCAGTTAATTCTTAAGAAATTGAGAAGTATGCATTATCAATAAAATAAAATCCAAAAACATACAGACTTTGTGAAATTAATAAGAAAACTTGAGCTGCTTATATTATAGAGTATGAATAAGCTCTTGGTTATAGTTTTTACAATTTAGTTAAAACTGTTCAATTAAGTATTAAACATAAAAATTGCATAACCCCATTTACACCTAAATTGAGATATGGAATTATAATACAATTCCATATTAAAATACACTAACAATTATTATGGAGTATATTAGATGCCACACTGTTCTCCAAAATATAGCAAAATTATCATTAACTGAACCATATGGCATTTTATATTTAACAATTTGTATAATTTCATTAATTAATGTCCATATGTTGTAATTGTCTTCCAATGTCCATATGTTCACTCAATGCACTGATGAAATACTCCCATTACAAGGCACAAGTATCATTTATGAACAAGCATGGAATGAGGAACAAGCTATGTTCCTATCAATTCTCACACTTTTCAATTAAATTCAATAGATATTTCTGTGAGTACCAAATCAATATTGAATGAACCTTTATGTTACTTTATTTTAGTTAGATATGAAAATAAAACATTTTGTTATTTCTCAAATTATTACAGTAGAAAATTAAATGTTATTTATGGTTATCATGTATAATAATTAAAAAATAATAACATATACCATTTCTTTATCTTGTAATGAAAGAGACTTCAAATTGAGATATCCAACTGGTGCAAATGCATCATCAGAATGTAAGATCATTTCAGTTTCTTTTCTGGTAATAAAAAAATTTTATGTTAGGTTTTTAAATTAATTTCAGTAAGACAGCAAATAAGCAATCTGAAATAATACATAGTTAAAATTTTAAATATAACAGATTTGATGCTAACAATTATAATGGAGAATAAAGAGAGTAGGCAAACAAATTATATTACAGTAAAATTTCAAGTCATTTTTTTGTCAAATGATTTGAAAAGAACTATGGATATGGGGAAATAATAAATTCAGGGGCCTATATAAACTAAAAGCACAGAAAACAAAGTCAGTTAAATTTACCTGTATGTATTAATTCAATCAAAAAATGTACATCAATGATATTTTTTCCACTGTCAAGTTCAATCTGGATTACGTTTTTTTAAAAAAAGTCATTAATCTTCTGTTTTTTAGCAACAATTTTTCTTCTCAAACTGAACAATAAACTTCCAATAGTCACAATGTTCATTTGGTCTCTTTTGGTAATGTCATGAACATACAAAAACTCTCTCATGTCTTAAAGTCCATGAGAGAGTTTTTGTATGTTATGAAATACTACAGTAAAACTTGACACTGGTTTGGGATTGGCTTCATTCTTATCATAACCACCTCTTCCTTTCCAGCTCATTATATGACAGTTAAGACACAAAAAAAGTCACAGATAACTGTAAACAGTTCAAACTGTTATTTGCTACACCACATTAAAAAACTGCTGATACTACTACTAATGCGCAACATTTTTGTGTGTGTGTGTGCACGCATGTGTCTCGTCTCTTTCTTAAAAATGACCATCCAAAATTAACATTCTTCAGGACTAAAAATTCTGATCAATAGGAAAATGATAAACATGGAATGAATGATGTGGGCTCAATTTCTATAGGTTAAACAGAATTTTTCAGGGACCTTAGAAATTAAACAATGTTTCCAGGAAAGCAAAATATCTGGGAATGATAAATTGAGGTATCATGTATTTAATAATTTCCAGGTAGCTAAATAAGTATATTCATCTATGATAGATAATAACTTATGATAACACATTTTATGTTTCAAGGATGGAAACTCCCAAACAATCCCCAAAATAAACTAAATTCAAAACAAATGAATATTTATTTACATAAGTGACAGATCCAGTAATGCTTCAGTATGTAAATAGGGTAGTGTAGAATTACTCTCTTAAGCAGATAAAAGATGACACACCTGTGCAACAGTGTGGTATAGCTCCTGAAAGTGACCTTTTGAACCAAATTGTCTGGTGTTCTTTCAAAGTAATTAATTCTTGAGGTATATTCCTTGCTTTTTATTTAATATCAGTGATTTAATTAATTATATGTCCCAAGCTGGAAAAAAGAATTTCTTTTATTGAATTTTTTTTGCTTGTACATAATTGATCTTGACTTGTTTTGAATATTTGAAATATATATTACTAACTTCTTGTCTATAGTCATTGTTGTTTATATATATTACTGTTCAACTCAATAAGCATTGTTGTGGACTTTTTCTTACATAAGTGACATTTTTCGATCGTTGTATTTTTCTTTTCTGTTATTTCCAGGCCTGGTGCTTGAAAGAACCCTAATTTTGTGTAACACCACTTTTTGTTTTTTGGACTTAGTTTTGGTCATGTGGTACATTACAAAACAATCCTATCTAATTTTTCTAGAAGAAACAAAAAGGCTGATATATAGTTGTTCAAGGTTGTAGGGGGTACAGGGAGTTTAAGTTTTACACTATACTCTTATATTTGATAATATTTTGCTTTATAAATACCTGTTTGCTAGTTTGTTTTGTTTAAATTTTACTTTAGTTTTATTTTATTTGATTTAATATATATTTTTTGCTTATTTCTTATTTTGACTTATTTAATTTACTTTGTTTTTGCTCTATTTATTAATTTTATATATTTATAATTTTCTTATAATTTTGAACTTTAAAAACATTTGAATGTAATGGTATTAATGGTATTACATTTATAGTATTTGTTCTAAAGCAATTCAAAAACTTTCCAGCAGTGGAGGTTTTTTAATAAAAATAAAAATAGAGAATAAAAATGTTTCTAAATAAAATATTTGTTTTGGCTCTCAAATTTAGCATTTTTTTCTAGTAATTTAAACATCATATCAGATCTATTTTCTAACTTTTTATAAAAATACTAGCAGACCCCGCCACGCCTTGTTGTGGCTCAAAATGTATCTATTATAAATGTATAACACTTCCCCCGTGAGGGAAAATTTTTCGAAAAAATTTTTTTTAGTGTACATTCTCTTGACGTACCCTATTAAAACGCAATCAAAAGCGCAAAAACCCGCATCTAAAATAGTATAATAGAAGTGAAGTTCTTCACAGTAAGCCTTAATCCTGTCCCTCTCCCCCCGGGGGGAATATCGAAAAATCCCTTCTTAGTGTACATTCTGTTGACGTACCCTATTAAAATGCAATCAAAAATGCAAAAAACCGCATCTAAAATAGTATAATAGAAGTGAAGTTCTTCACAGTAAGCCTTCCCCGTAAGGCTTACCGTAAAGAACTGTCCATCCCCCATGTTTAACGGAATAATATACAGCCTATGTCCACCCTGAAGTTTCATTCTAAATATTGGTGAAAAAATTTTTGAAATCGGATGAGTAGTTTTGGAGATTACCTGCTGCATCCAAACTTACTTACATACAAACATTACCTCTTTATAATATTAGTATAGATAAAACTTTTGTACTAACTATTTTAAAATGTTTTGTAGAGTTGTAAAGATGGTGATATGAAATTTATAAAAAGAACTAAAAAACTTGCCATAGTAACTTGATAACAAATAAATATATATTTTTAAAGTATTTGAAACATTAAAACTAACAATTATTTGATAACAATTTGACAGTTTAAATAAAAACTGTTTGTAAAGGAAAGCCTGTCATTTATCAAAGTCTACAATTTGAATCTTAATATAAAATATTAGTCATTGCTTAATCTCTTAGAATTAGATCAAGGAGATTAAGATAGTCATTAATCGATTTAGTTCAATTTCAAAATCTCCAATTCTATGCAAAATATGAATAACTGAATGAGATTAAATCTATTGTTGTTATTATTTAAGAAGGATAATATTTCATGATAATAAAAATCTAATTTAAAATATAATTAGAAGATCAGATATTTAATGAATGTATAACTGAATAAATATATTGAAATGACACACATTTTTACAGGTAATTTCATTTTTACCATGATTTATCGTATACAAAGAGAGAATAAAAAAGTGTTATAAATAATAAAGTATTTTACTGAAAGTATGAAAAAGTATGATTATGGTAAAGGAAAAATTAGAAAAATAACTTTAATCAAATAATATATGAAAGAAATGAAATGGAATAAAATAATATAAGAAAAAGAAAAGTAAAAATCTTTCTTTTGCATTTCATTTGCTATAGACTTTACAAATAGTCAAAAAATTATTAACTGTTGTACAAATAGTAATCTATAATATCAAGAGTAATATGATATAGAAATTAATTTTTTGTTTTTTTTGTAAAATTTAAAAAAAATTTTAAAANTTATATACAAGTTTTAAAAATAAAAATGTGTTTTACCTAGTTGCATTTAAATATGAATGATTTGTCTCACATTGAAGCTAAATGATAAAAAGTAACAAACAAATCACTAAGTAATAAATGTCATCATTTTAAACTTTTTAAAAGTATTTTATGTCTTTTTGTTATGTAGCAGTTCTTTCCTTTTTTACCACAATATTCCAGTCACCAGCATAATTTTTCATGGGCAATCTGTCCTGGTATGTTGCCATCTCACCATTTAGTCTCTTCATTGTGAATCTGGCTAAATTCACAATGGGCATGGAAAAATAGGCACAGTGTGTAAAGTGTTTAAGAAAAAGTCACTCAATCCATACAGTCAAGGTTAAAAGTACTACAGTATTTACATATTTGTGCATTCATAGCAAAGCCCATAGAATTATAAATTATAAGAAAAGTAGTGTATTATTCACTTACAGATTTACCTTGGATAATGCAGAATCTAGGTTGATCAGGACTTGGATAATCAAAGTTCTATTGTACTTGCATTTTGCTTCTATTTGTGAATTATATTCTTTTATAATCGAATGAAATAAAACTGAATTGGCAATTTTCATTTAGTGAGTTTTTACTGTTGTAATTTTCATACTATAACAAAGTAGTAATTCACTCACCAGTAATTACTGTATGTTTCTGAAGACAAACTATTATATAATATGCAACTTTTTCATTAAATATGATAAATGCCCTTATTCTTCATAAATTTTTTAAATATTATTGTAAACTTTAACACCTTTAATACCAAAATTGTTTTCAATATAATTTAAACAGATTGTTTATTTGGAAGTTTAATTGGAAGGTTCTTTATCAGATCCTTTTGTGTTGTCATACTTTGCTGAAATACAAAATATTGAAGTATAAAAAAAACAGAAATATTTTAAATTATAGAACTAATTAGGTTATAAAAATTCTAATAACTGTAAAAATCATTATTATATAATATAATCGAAAACTAATAATACCAACTGAAGCAAGATGATTCAGCATCTAAAATGAAAACAATTTCAGTTTTCTCATTTAAAACAGTTTTTTATTTAAGAAGACAGTTAAATTTATATATTGTAACATTTTCTTACTCTTTAACTTATTATTGTATTTGAAATTAAAAAACGTTACTTATGCCTTTTTAAAGTAGTTTCAGAAAATTTCTTTTTTAATATTTACTTTCTTAAACTGAGTCATCTTGCTACTACTATTTCTGAATGAAAAAAAACAATGTCTCTCAACTTCCTTTTAAAAAGTTCAAGACATCTCTTGTGTAACATTGAGATTGTAATATATCAATAAGATTTATCATTGTCTAATGCTGGTACTCACTTTCCTGAAATATTTGCCTATGCATCATTCAAAAATGAAAACTTTTCTTAGTTTGGTGGAAACAGCAAGAGCAGTATTTTCATGGAAACAGGGCTGTGGAGTTGGTATACAAAACAGCCAACCTTAACTAGTTCCTCAATTTTTACATTTTTGATTACTACTTTGATTTTTTTCATAGTATTTAATATGTTTATCATTAGTACAAATTGATACTAATGATAAATGTACTAAAATGGTACATGGTACCATAAGACATTTCATCACTATCCGAACCATCAGGCTATTTTTAGACATACCTTGTAAGAGTAAGTTTAAATTTATATTGAGGTTGAAATTGAAGTTGTTACATTTTTAGAGTCCATCTCCATCCAAAACTGCTTTGATTCTGACTCCATAACCCTGAATGATAGATTACAGAATATATTTAATTTATATTAAACAAGTAGCAAAGATATTATGCAACATAATTTTACTTTTTGTATCAAAAAGAGTTTCTGTAAAAGTAAAAATTTCTGAATGCAGAATAAGTTCATTCTCAATTATTATTAAGTATTAAATATGCCTTTACTTTCCATGACAATAGTATGCTTCCATTTCATCAATAAAAGTTTTATATTTTCAAATACTGCATGTACATGTATTTTAAAAGAGTTAATGCTAATGTTAAACAAATGCTACATCTGGTTGATACGAGAGGTGTTCAAAAAGTATCAGACTTTTGGTCGGCAAAAATACATTTATTGATTTTGAGGTACGAAACCCTAATCCCCTTCAAAGTAGTCTCCTTGGTAATGTATACACTTCTCCCAGTGCTCTTGCCATTGCGGGAAACACTGCTGGAACACATCTTTTGAAATGGCCATCAGCCGATCCATCGCATTCCGCATGATGTCTTCTCTTGACTAAAATCGGGTTCCTTTTAGCAACATTTTCAGCTTTGGAAATAGCCAAAAGTCACATGGAGTCATGTCGGGCGAGTACGGAGCGTGACGAACCACAGGAATGTTGTGTTTGGTGACAAAAGTCCGAATCAGATGTGCAGAATGGGCAGGTGCATTATCATGATGGAGCTGCAAGTTTTGGTTGACCACAGATCCGGTCGTACGTGTTGCACAACATCACAAAGACAACGAAGGACCTCCTGATAGTACTCCTTTGCAATGGTTTGGCCTCGTGGTGCGTACTCAGGATACACCACCCCACGGGAGTAGAAAAAAAACTGTCAACATGACTTGACATTGCTGCAGACCTGTTGCGCTTTTTTTTTGCCTCAAGGATCGCCCCTGAAAGCCTGCTGAATCTTGCGAATGGTTTCCACTTGGATATCGCCAAGCTTTTGGCAAAATTTGATGCAATATCGCTGCTCACGTTGTTCAGTCATTTTCCAACTTAGTGGAATCCAACGAGCACTCACTACATGTCCTCACTCATAGGCCGACTGCCAGCGACTGACACTTCCTGCATGCAGGAAAAAATTCAGGACTGTGCATGACTGTCCCCTACACAACTCCACCGAAAGAGACCTCCTGTGCATCATTGGTTTACATGGAAAAAATAAAGGTCCGATATGTTGTGAATACCCCTTGTATATTGGAATTAGGATACAGTAAAGTATCAATTATCTAAAATAATTGAAGTTAGACAATTTTGGATAACCAATCACCTTTAGTAAGGAAAGAATGAAAAGATAAATATCTTAAATAAAGTAAAGCTATTAATTTTAATTCTAGTATTATCAGCAGTGCCTGCAAACTATAGAAAACAGGGAGCATAAGCTGTAAAAAATGCATTGTACATTATGCAAGAAACTTCAAACTCTATGATTGAATGTTGGATCAGTGCTCCCTCAAGGTAGTGTTAGTTGCACTTGGGGCTAACTTGGCCTTGAAAATGAAGTTGCATGGGACAACAAACAAATAGAGTTTATTAGTTTCTTTTATATTTGCAGTATGGCTGGAAGCCATGAATTTTCTGTTGTTTGTTTGTAATGGAATTTGGGTTCCCCTTGGGCCCCAATTCCATTACAAATAAACAACAACCCAGGTGAAAAAGAGGGGTATGTGCCCCAAGTGCCCTAATGTAAGGGCACTCCTGAGTACAATAGTAAAAATGGTTAAGAAATAGAAATTTAATATACATGAATGGTACAATAATGAGCAAAATGGTACAATAAATGAGCAAATATTTCATGTGATATCATCACAATGCCAGGCTGCAATTTTTAATCATATTTTTAATTTATTTAACTTAAAATATATGCTCTCCACCTCAAATTACTAGTGTCTTGACCCTTTACATCATATTTTTCCTGTTAGCAATAGAGTCAAGCCAGTCATCTATCTAAATCCTTTCAGGGAAGAATTTTTGAACTGAAATAACATGACTTCTGGTTTGCCTTAGAAATTCATATATAGTTAATCAGGGCCTCATGCTCCTAAGCTTTCCATATCTAGTCTTGGCTTTCAGGGCAAACAGTCAGTCAGACAACAGTGGAAATTTATAGGTCTACAATTTTTTCAAATTGTAGCCCAACAATAAAAGAATTGGCTAACAAGAACTGTTTTTCATTTCAATCTACAAGATACTGATGAAATTGATTTTAAAGTAAAAAAATATATAATAGTAAAATAAATATTAAATAAAGTACAGTACAGGTATACCTCGACTTACGTCGTTCTCCTGGAACCAATTACCGACGTAAGGCGAGGTATACCTGTATTCATATAAAATAATTTTTATATGAATACTGTACTTTTCAAAAGTTCTTTTTGAAAAAAGTCACTTATTTTGTTTTGTTTTACATAGTTTTATTCATTTTAACTTTTTAACTCTTAAATCTCTGGTTTTCAAACAATCAAGCAAGATTTTGATAAGAACTGAAAAATTGCTTCAGGTTGTATTTCTATGTCAACATTGTTTCTAATGCATAAAATGATTTACTATTCATGAACATGGTAAAGCATTTGATTCAACAGAAGCTACGAGTCAGTAATCATGCTTTTCTATTTGTACTGTAACGAATGAAAGCTAACACTAATGCTGATAATATGACAGGACAATAGCAAGACTGCAGACAATTTTTATTACATAAAAACTTCATAATTTCAGGAATTATTACTCTTTGAAGTTCATTTTGGTTAATCAACTTTTTGGATAATTGACACTTTACTATATTTTATTGCAGTTAATTCTTAAGAAATTGAGAAGTATGCATTATCAATAAAATAAAATCCAAAAACATACAGACTTTGTGAAATTAATAAGAAAACTTGAGCTGCTTATATTATAGAGTATGAATAAGCTCTTGGTTATAGTTTTTACAATTTAGTTAAAACTGTTCAATTAAGTATTAAACATAAAAATTGCATAACCCCATTTACACCTAAATTGAGATATGGAATTATAATACAATTCCATATTAAAATACACTAACAATTATTATGGAGTATATTAGATGCCACACTGTTCTCCAAAATATAGCAAAATTATCATTAACTGAACCATATGGCATTTTATATTTAACAATTTGTATAATTTCATTAATTAATGTCCATATGTTGTAATTGTCTTCCAATGTCCATATGTTCACTCAATGCACTGATGAAATACTCCCATTACAAGGCACAAGTATCATTTATGAACAAGCATGGAATGAGGAACAAGCTATGTTCCTATCAATTCTCACACTTTTCAATTAAATTCAATAGATATTTCTGTGAGTACCAAATCAATATTGAATGAACCTTTATGTTACTTTATTTTAGTTAGATATGAAAATAAAACATTTTGTTATTTCTCAAATTATTACAGTAGAAAATTAAATGTTATTTATGGTTATCATGTATAATAATTAAAAAATAATAACATATACCATTTCTTTATCTTGTAATGAAAGAGACTTCAAATTGAGATATCCAACTGGTGCAAATGCATCATCAGAATGTAAGATCATTTCAGTTTCTTTTCTGGTAATAAAAAAATTTTATGTTAGGTTTTTAAATTAATTTCAGTAAGACAGCAAATAAGCAATCTGAAATAATACATAGTTAAAATTTTAAATATAACAGATTTGATGCTAACAATTATAATGGAGAATAAAGAGAGTAGGCAAACAAATTATATTACAGTAAAATTTCAAGTCATTTTTTTGTCAAATGATTTGAAAAGAACTATGGATATGGGGAAATAATAAATTCAGGGGCCTATATAAACTAAAAGCACAGAAAACAAAGTCAGTTAAATTTACCTGTATGTATTAATTCAATCAAAAAATGTACATCAATGATATTTTTTCCACTGTCAAGTTCAATCTGGATTACGTTTTTTTAAAAAAAGTCATTAATCTTCTGTTTTTTAGCAACAATTTTTCTTCTCAAACTGAACAATAAACTTCCAATAGTCACAATGTTCATTTGGTCTCTTTTGGTAATGTCATGAACATACAAAAACTCTCTCATGTCTTAAAGTCCATGAGAGAGTTTTTGTATGTTATGAAATACTACAGTAAAACTTGACACTGGTTTGGGATTGGCTTCATTCTTATCATAACCACCTCTTCCTTTCCAGCTCATTATATGACAGTTAAGACACAAAAAAAGTCACAGATAACTGTAAACAGTTCAAACTGTTATTTGCTACACCACATTAAAAAACTGCTGATACTACTACTAATGCGCAACATTTTTGTGTGTGTGTGTGTGTGCACGCATGTGTCTCGTCTCTTTCTTAAAAATGACCATCCAAAATTAACATTCTTCAGGACTAAAAATTCTGATCAATAGGAAAATGATAAACATGGAATGAATGATGTGGGCTCAATTTCTATAGGTTAAACAGAATTTTTCAGGGACCTTAGAAATTAAACAATGTTTCCAGGAAAGCAAAATATCTGGGAATGATAAATTGAGGTATCATGTATTTAATAATTTCCAGGTAGCTAAATAAGTATATTCATCTATGATAGATAATAACTTATGATAACACATTTTATGTTTCAAGGATGGAAACTCCCAAACAATCCCCAAAATAAACTAAATTCAAAACAAATGAATATTTATTTACATAAGTGACAGATCCAGTAATGCTTCAGTATGTAAATAGGGTAGTGTAGAATTACTCTCTTAAGCAGATAAAAGATGACACACCTGTGCAACAGTGTGGTATAGCTCCTGAAAGTGACCTTTTGAACCAAATTGTCTGGTGTTCTTTCAAAGTGATTAATTCTTGAGGTATATTCCTTGCTTTTTATTTAATATCAGTGATTTAATTAATTATATGTCCCAAGCTGGAAAAAAGAATTTCTTTTATTGAATTTTTTTTGCTTGTACATAATTGATCTTGACTTGTTTTGAATATTTGAAATATATATTACTAACTTCTTGTCTATAGTCATTGTTGTTTATATATATTACTGTTCAACTCAATAAGCATTGTTGTGGACTTTTTCTTACATAAGTGACATTTTTCGATCGTTGTATTTTTCTTTTCTGTTATTTCCAGGCCTGGTGCTTGAAAGAACCCTAATTTTGTGTAACACCACTTTTTGTTTTTTGGACTTAGTTTTGGTCATGTGGTACATTACAAAACAATCTTATCTAATTTTTCTAGAAGAAACAAAAAGGCTGATATATAGTTGTTCAAGGTTGTAGGGGGTACAGGGAGTTTAAGTTTTACACTATACTCTTATATTTGATAATATTTTGCTTTATAAATACCTGTTTGCTAGTTTGTTTTGTTTAAATTTTACTTTAGTTTTATTTTATTTGATTTAATATATATTTTTTGCTTATTTCTTATTTTGACTTATTTAATTTACTTTGTTTTTGCTCTATTTATTAATTTTATATATTTATAATTTTCTTATAATTTTGAACTTTAAAAACATTTGAATGTAATGGTATTAATGGTATTACATTTATAGTATTTGTTCTAAAGCAATTCAAAAACTTTCCAGCAGTGGAGGTTTTTTAATAAAAATAAAAATAGAGAATAAAAATGTTTCTAAATAAAATATTTGTTTTGGCTCTCAAATTTAGCATTTTTTTCTAGTAATTTAAACATCATATCAGATCTATTTTCTAACTTTTTATAAAAATACTAGCAGACCCCGCCACGCCTTGTTGTGGCTCAAAATGTATCTATTATAAATGTATAACACTTCCCCCGTGAGGGAAAATTTTTCGAAAAAATTTTTTTTAGTGTACATTCTCTTGACGTACCCTATTAAAACGCAATCAAAAGCGCAAAAACCCGCATCTAAAATAGTATAATAGAAGCCAAGTTTTTCACAGTAAGCCTTAATC